CAGTCCTCTAGCTGATAGTTAACCATACTAAATCCATGTGACTTAATCCTTTTGGCTAACGCAGCCAACTTGAGCAACACAAGTGTCTGAGGCACAGAGTACATGGAGACGGCGTTTCTGAACGATGACTACTTTCAGGCAGGAAGGACCAAGCTTATGTAAGATCTGCACTGCTCATTACTTACTCATAATCTAAAGTCATCCTTATCCTCCACAATGTGACAGGAAGAGCCTCCAAAAGTGATCCCTTCCACTGTGTAGTCCCAGTAGGTGCCTTCTGCCTCAGACTCAATGGGAGCCCAAGCGGCCTGACATTGGAACACACTCTGATTCTCCGATCGTTCTCCTGCATCCTAACCCTTGTATCCAACCACTAGGTCACATAAGAATAAGGTCACCACACTCATTCATTTAGTTCTCAAGTCTCATGAACAATCTAATGATCTCACTTTTTCCTTCTCATTTCTCACATGGAGAACTCAGGGCAGGTCTTTAGCTAATTGACAACAAAACAAGGATGAGCAATAAGAGTGTGTGTGTGTGTGTGTGTGTGTACACATGCGTGTGTGTGCACAAGCGTGTGATGGGCTCTCTGATTCTTGAATTCAAGTGATCCTTTGGCTCCAGCATCCTGAATTCTGTGACCCAGGTGTGTGTCACTATGTCCGCCCAGAATCTTCCTCAAGACGCATGGACACTGAGTGTCTGTGCTTTGGTTTCCTCATCTATAAAACACGTGTAATAAAGGTGCTTCCTCCCTGGGTTGGTGTGCCGTTTAAGCCAGGTTAATTCAGACGAGTGTGTGGCAATCAGCGTGGGAGGCTGCCATTGTTAGCTGAGTCTGACTGATGACAGCTCAGGACACTGAGCCTTGGAGAGATTAAATACTTTGTCTAGGATCACACAGACACAGAGTAACACAGCTACTGTAGGAATCCTACTACGTTCCTTATCAAAAGCTCAACCTCAGTTATTATCAATATGGTACATCTAGTGGTACCAGCAGACAAAGAGGGCAGCTACTGTAACAAACATGCATGTTATCTTGTTTTAAAGGTTCAAATTACAAACTTCTCTATTACAACCTTTGGCTCTTCTACATTCCTTTTTCATGTACTTTTCATCCATCTCTCCCAGATCTGGGAAACCCACTGCAAAGCATAGGACCAAACACACAACCTTCAATAATTGTTAAGTTGGGGAATGACATTGCATTTTTAAATATGTAATTTAACTTATTACTTTAATAGAGAGAAGGTATATGACATACAAAATTCAAACTATACAGAAACCTTTTTTTTTAAGACAGGGTTTCTTTGTGTAGCCTTGGCTGTCCTGGAACTTCCTCTGTAGACCAAGATGGCCTTGAACTCACAGAGTGCTGGGATTAAAGGTATGCACCACCACCTCCTGTCCAAACTATATAGGAACTTGATCACAGAGAGTAATATCCCTCCCCCAAACCCCCAGACTTCCATCTCCTGTTCCAAGACACATCCCCAGCATCCACTTTCTTGAGATGTTATTGAATTACACAGAAGTTTTGTCTACTTAAGTTTATTGCCAAAAGCAGTTAGAGAATGGGAGGTAATGATTTGTAAAAATGTAGTCAATCTATTCTTTTCTGAGAAATCAATTTCATTCAAACTCAGGTAAAGGCTATACTGATATCGACTTACTGTGTGTGTGTGTGTGTGTGTGTGTGTGTGTGTGTGTGTGTGGTGTGTCCATCCACAGCAAGACCAACAGTGAGTAAAGATGCTATATGTGTGAGATCCATGAGGCAAAAGTGCTGTGTTGATCCAGGTATTGCTATCTATGATCAGGTTCTCATCCCTTGCAGTTGATCTCATGACCCGTTATTCCTGGTTATTTTGCTGTGAAACTAAATTCCCTTGACTCGGTCACAGTTTGTGTCTTCAATAAGACACAGAACTTTCCCTTTCTTTTAGCAAGATGCAAGGTCACTCTAACATAATTAACAACAGTTGGGAATGAAGGAGAGCTTTTTAAAGGAAGGGAAACAGCCACCCTTCTTCATAGTGTGCTCTTTTTGTCAAATGTCTGCAGTAGCCCAGGAAAACGCACATTGTCTAAAGCTTTCCCCACAAACTCTTCCAAACTGACTTGGAGCTTGCTGCTGTCTTCTACCACACTGCCAGCTTCCCCCAGTTATATGAGGTTTTGTCATAGCACAGTACGTTCCCACCTTGCCACTGCTTAGAAATGGCACCAAACTGTAAGCGCTCATACTTGTGGAGGACACGGTGATGAAGTAAGTATAGTTCTCTGCTTATTCTGGGGTCATGGATTCGCATGTCTCTATCCTTAGTCCACAGTACTTCATCTAGTTTTTATTTTCACCCTAAATGCATATTCACCTTATTGAAAAAGACAAAACAAAATGGATTGGATAAAGTTTTAAGCAACTTTGCCTGAGCATTATCAGTACTCAGGCAAATTAAAACCTATGTTTCTCTGATTTGGGGGAAATTACTTTTTTTTCATTGCTACCATCTGTTTTGACTTCTTCCCCCATAAGAATAGATGTTCTGACATATTCCTTCTCCATTATTTTGCTTAGGGCTAATACAGACATGGACTCCAATGACAAGCGGAGCCCTTGTTTCGGCTGGGCACTCAGAGGAAGACATACCAAAAGATAACTGAAGGCTTCTTCCTTTCCTCCTAAATCTATTTGCTTATAAGCTGTCCGTTTTCTATTCAGGACCTTTGGTGTAAGCTTGGTGGTCCCTCTGACTGTCAATGAGCTCTTTTTGTGTTTCTTTGTCAGGGCCTTCTTACTGCTTCTAACTCCTCAGTTTCCACTAGTAACGCCAACCCTGAGGGCATCCAGCCAACTTATCTACTCCAGCTCCGCCAAGCCAGACTGCAGTTCTCACAGATCTGAGGAAAGGCCCCACTAGGAAGTGAGAGCCCTAGAGAAAACAGACCCTTAATTCCTGGCATTTCCTTCTTGTTAGGAGCCATGCTATTTCTCTGTATTTAGCAACTTCCTTTTCTATTATTCCGACTTCCAAGCTCATGCTCTACTCCTTTCTATTCCATTTAATGGAAGTATTTTTGTCATGCGGATTGAACTCTTGTTTAGAACGCCATTTTGAATAGTTCATTCTGTCTCTTTCCCAAACATACTGAGCTCCACACATCCATACATATTACAGTATTACATATCACATTACATTACAGTATTGCATATAGTATTGCAAAGCAAGTAGTTATTTGTCAATTGGTGTGAGGGATGAGACTTAATTGTAGAATTTTGACCATTTTTTATCAGATTGTAGAAATGATCATTTCCTTTTCCTTGAGTTTAACTGAATCAATCAGATGGCAGAGGGCTAATGCTGTATGGATGTTTCTAGCAGAGTCGCCACACTGGCCTCCACACCACGTGACATTTTCCTTCTCTGCACTTCTCAAACAAGCCAGTAGTCAGCAGGACAAGGCAAGACCGCTCTTCACTTAGGAGGGCAGTGTCTGGCACTAGACTGACTTCGCTTCTCTTCTCTGGCATAGTGACTTTGGGCAAGCTGCTTGGATGTCTGTAGTATCATAGCCACCGTCACAAGTGAGATCTGAGAGCACACGGAACCCTCCCAGAAGGCAACTGGACTTGTCTCATGTATATACTCTGAGTATTAGGCTGTCTCCTGGCTTGAGAACAACTGTGATTCGGAGCATGAAATGAGGCAAGAACATTACAGTTAGCACTGACTCCAGGACCAGGCCTCAGTGTTAAAATTCTTCTTCCTGGAATGAACTTAAACCTACTGAGGAAAGTCATTATTTCTCAGGCTCAATCAGGACATGCCACCTGGAGTATTTCTACAATGAACCAGAAACCCACTAATCAGCAACCAGTGGAAAGGGCCAGAGGCGCTAAGACGGAATTAATCTGAAGTTTATGACAAACTTTTCTCTCCGGCTGTATTTCTCTTTGTCATTCATAAGGTCAACTTTCTTGACAAAGTTATTTATATGGTAAACAAGTTTCTTAATTTTTATGAAGTCATTCATTCTTTAAAATTTATTAATTTCTTGGCTAATCACAAAGCAGCAATTAAAATTTTACATGAATGCCTTTTGATGGCAAATGGTTAGAAATTTATTTTAGGACTTAAGTGTATTGGTTTATATTGTTTCCAGCCTAAGGATGTCTACACTGGTTTGGTCAAAAATTCCAGATACTGTATTTAAAAGTAAAATTGTTGTTGTCTATAAGTAATAAACTAAAACTTCAAACAGCTTTAAACCAAGCAAACCGAAGTTTTATTAATACAGATTGCCGTCAACCATGCTAAATTAGTAAGGGACTGAAATATTTTTAAAAAGTGACGTAACTAGCTATGGCAGGCTCTATGAGGCAATGAATGAATGAAAGAGACCTGTGTTAACATTTTCCCGATTTATCTTCACAAGTCACTGAACGAGAGTGTACAAACACAGGGCAGACTTGACTTCCATTTTTAAGCACCAGACACTCAGCCTCAGGCCGGCACTAGCTAGGACTATAATTACTACTAGAGGTCCACAATTCATCTTCGGTACACTAATTGTATAAATCAGTTTCAAGTAAAAGTGACATTGTATAAGGATTATACTTTTCTGGTCATGTCTAGCCTGCTTAGATTTGTTTTTGTTAGTATCTAACTACTCATGCCTAATGATGCAATTACCACTCCTTTATCCTCAAGTGACTTGGGGAAAGCATTTATTTCTCTTATCCACACAATCAACAGATGCTCATAATTCTTATCAACAGATTCTTCCTGATTAGCATATGTGACTCCCGAAACACCCTGCTGGGTTTTCTTGTGGGGGAAGGGAGGGCAGGAAACGTCTTCAAATACAGAGATCCTGAACTATCAATTTGAATACCTACAATCAGTCTATCTGATAACACTCCCAGGCACTCAAAGGTCCCACAGAAACAGGACAAGGGCTTTTGTAATTTTGGTTTTGGTCAGATGACTCACCCACAATGACAGCAGCGACAGTGAGCAGCACAAAAGCATTCCGAAGCAGGTAACTCTTCACATCCTCCCTTGTGATACTCTGTACTTTCTTCTTGGCCAAAAGTGTGCGCTTGCGGACTCCTTGCTGGAATCTCTCCATTCTGCCGCCCGTCCTGGGCTCTTCCCCATTGCTTTTTGTCATGCTTTATCTTTCTAGGAATGCCGGCCAGGTCCTTGTACTTCAGTGTTTGTGGAATTGTCCCCAGACAGTGAAATCTCCTCTTCGGTGTTCGAGAATACAACTAGAACGGGACAGAAGGACACAGAGTTACTGCCTCCTGGGCTGAGAAATCAATGTTGGCTCATGCCACTGTGGGCACTGGGTAAATTGAACTAGAAATCCAGGACTGGAGAGCTACAATAGGTGCGAAGATGGACATACAATTAGAATAGATGATCAAAAAGTTACGTTCCAGTTTCCAGTTTGTTCTTTCCCCTCAATGAGTAAAGGTGTTCTTCAGAGTTGGACGTGATGGAGCACCAACATTCCCACTCTGTTCCTCAGAGCCTAGCCTTGCACAACTCAACTCAATAAATGCCCAGTTGAACTGAACACAAAGAAAATTTCACTAGATAACTCAGGTCTTGTATGTGTTTGAAGACATAACTATGTCAATAAAAAGAACTGAGGTAATTGGGATATTGACATATGACCACTGACATACATAGTGAAACTTTGGTTTTATTTATTAATTTCACTAAGAAAGAAACATGAACAGGTTAACTTGCAAATGTGGTCATAAAAAGAACACAAGTGCCCAGGGGAACAGTAGAAATGCATTTGAGCCTTTTACAGGGTAACTTTTTCCATGAAATAAGCGCATTGCCCTAGGCACATCTAAAAACTATCAGAAATCATAATTCATTTTCATTTTGTTCAGTAAGAGCATAACGCAACATCTGTGTTTATGGCAAACCTTCAAGTCACGTGAGTCTTCGTATTTTGAGAATTAGGATTTCTGGGACAGATGAAGAGAGAATCCAGTTTTCATTCCAAACATTACAGCGTGTGGTTTCTAGTTTCTTTACAGTGCTCTTAGGTTATTCAAATACAAACGGCTAAACCCATTTTCCCTGCTGAAAATCATGGGCTTCCCCCGGCTTCTGTGCAAGGTTCTTAATCCCTAGTCTTTGGCGATGATCAGTTTTGCCTGTGGACGTGTGTGCCTGGCAAAGCCAGAGCCAGCGTGTGCGTCTGTGGAGGAGGCAGTCGCAAGCCAGGAACTCGCAGGCTTTCGAGGGTGCAAAATAAAAGACTTAACAGTTTGACTTTGAAATAAAATTGCAGGTTGAGGCCATTGATAGTAAGACCTGCAATGTGTTTAAGACTTTACACTAGATTAAAAGCTTAGAGAGTGGGGAAGGGAGGGAGAGAGGAGAGCTCAGATTTTTTTAACTAACAGTTCTGATGTCCCTAAGCCGTCAGTTCCCCTTAAAATACACCATCTCAATCTTGATTTCACTTCTACATCTCGGACTTCCATTTACTCCTAGTCCACCTTGAATGACTGAATTTCAAATGAAGAGCGGACTGGGCTTGGCTAGTTAGCACACGCTGGAGGCACTCGGTCCTAACAGGACCTTACCTACCAACATGGCTAGCTTTACTCCGCCTCTGAGCAAACAGAAAAATGGGACACGAAACTGAGCCCCGCGGGATATAGGAGGCTGCGCTTACCTTTTCTGGTTCTGTGAAGGGTGGAAGGCACCCCAGGCAATGTCAAGGTGAATTCCCCAGCAGGTAGCTCGGAGTAACAGCTGAACGAGCAAGCGAGCCAGCGAGCGAACAAGCAGCGGGGCAGACTAGCCCTGACAACATGCATGTGCTCCGAAACCGCCACTTACTATCAGGCAACTTAAGAAAAGAGGCGGAGCCTGGGCTGGGGAAAGGGGGAGTGGGGAAATGAAAACAGCAGGGGGAGGAGGGAGAGTCCGAGCTCTCCGGAATATTGATTAATCTTGGCACACCAGAAGCATGCTCACTTGCTTTGTTTTGCTTCGCAGACCTCTTTCACGCTTTGTCAGTTCACTTTTATAAGAAATGCAAAAACCAGGACCTGGAAAAATCGAAAACTAAAGCACACGCACACTTGGACGGTGGAAGTCCCGATTAGGAACGTTTGGAAGACTTCTCCAAGACCATATTTAATTACCTCGCTTTATTTCAGGTTTCCTCCCCTTCAGGAGACGTCAGAGGGTGTTCTTTTGCCTGCTCATACAACTGTTGTGTGCCCCCTACCCCTAGCACTGGGGACGTTTCTTGGAAGGATCCTGAATACAATTAAGTATAGAGAGGAGAATGCTTACTGACGCCCTCACAACTTGTATAAAATTACTCAAAACACAAGGTGAGACATGCCCCTGTTATAGCAGTTTTTAAAACTCCAATATAACAGATCTAATTGAGCTTGGCTGCCTGCTCCCCAGCAGACAGAAAGGTAAGAAACACAAAAGTACCAGGATTGCTGCCAAACTATAAAGTCAATAGCGTTTTAAGACCAACAGTGCAGATGTACTCACAATTTCCAAAGGTTAGATGCTATTCAGTTGCTTCCGTTTCAAAGGATGCTGGACGTCCCCTTCCCCATTTTTAGGAGTTAGAAAGGTCTCCTGGTTTTGAGACTATAACTGGTACTTTCCTTGCCCCCCCTCCTTCCCTCCCTCCCTCTCTCTCTCTGTTTTTTTTGGGGGGGGAAGGGGGTTGAGACAGGGTGTCTCCGTGTAGCCCTGGCTGTCCTGAAACTTGCTCCTTAGACCAGGCTGGCCTCAAACTCAGAGCTCCACCTGCCCCTGCCTCCCAGGTGCTGGGATTAAAGGAATGTGCCACTACACGTGGTCTTGGCCATTAAAAATAGACTGCACAAATAAACATCCTATAAAATGAAAATGATTGTTGAGTGTGACTTACCCCCCCACTTAAAAACTTGTTTAGGTGAAAAAGAATGGCTCATCAGAAACCTAAACACATACCCAAAATCACAGCAGTGTTCTATTTGCTAGATTCCCCAAGCAAAGCGTGCTCGGTTTTGGCGTCTGTCATCCACCACCGAAGTATGTATTTTTGTTCCTAATTAGCAAATCCAGGGAGCTAGAAAAAAATGTTCCCTGCCAGCCTTAATTGTTCATGTATGTGCTTTGGAACAGCTACCAGTTGCAAAGCAATGGTGAACTGTATGAGTGCCCGATATGACAAATTAGCAGCAATTATAACAACTCCCTAACTTGACACGGCTCTAACAACTTAAAGAAAATACAGTCCCTTGTCAGTCCCAGTCCTTGGCGACCTCTTGCTTTCCTCAGCTCCCTTGACATCTGCACCCTGTTGCTTAACACGTAATTATATCTTGCCTTGCCCCGTGCCCTTCGTTTTAAGATCATGTCAAGTCTGGACTTCTCAACAAAATGATAAGTTCTTTGAGGGCAAGAACCTGTCTTGTGCCTCATGAACAGGGAGCATTAAGAAATTCTTATGCATGGCTGATATAATCTCGGAGATTATATCACTAATTTACCACTTTCTGTGGTAAATCAAAGCTCCTTGCTTTTCTGTTGGTAGCTTGGATGCATGGACACAGAAGATGGACTGCCATCTTCACCTGAGTCATGATTTGGAACTACTATGTTCCCTTTTTTATTTTCTTGTCATACATGCTCTGTATTTTAAGGGAACTTAAAGAAATGAGACACTTTTAAGTGGAGTTTCAAATCAATAGCATTTCTGCTCATACTGCCCAAACTCCCAAGGCCAGCAAGAAAAGGGCCTGGAAAACCACTCTGGATAGCATAGAGGAGAGCCTGTATTTTTTGGGAGGGGGGGTTGCTTTTTTCCCCTTTTCCACCCTTTCCAAATCCCTAAAGCTTGACTAAAACAATTTTATTATTTTAATCTGTGCAACCAGCACAGGAGTCTGGAGTTTATAGAGAAAGGAAGTAATTCATCCTTGAAGGTTTTGTTGGTTGTAATAAAAGCTACTGAGAAAATGAGATGCAAAGAGGCTGGGTTCAGAGTTAGTATGAACTGCAAGGTTTGGGTCTGGGCCAAATATTGCGAATTACTTCTGGGCACTACTCTTTTGGAAAACTGTAACATTAATGTCCCAGGGGCCACCTGAATTTGTTCTGAGTATTTCTCCCGCTGCCCCCTCCACTTCCTAAGGAGGGCCATTGAAGTTTGAAATGATTACCCCCTTCATAGACGCATCAAATAAATGAGATCAAGACATCATGAGCAAAAGTCTGCCAGTTGTATTACATTTAAAGCTACTTAGATACTGGATACAGCGCCCAGGACGCATTAGCACTGGAGTTCCAGATGAAAGCAAATAAAACTCCCAAACACACACACACTGGGAAAAGATGCTGGTTCTTTTGAGAAAATTGACCTGAGTTTTTCTTTGTGCAGGCAATGACAGACAGATTGTGGTTTAGGTAAATTCTTCCTCCTGGGAAAAATTGGATACTGTAACAATAAAGCAACTCATCTGTAGTGAAGCACCCTGTTACCTGGTGTGCCGTGAGTGATGGTGACCATAAGTGCTGGTCTTCACACCTGCAGGACAATCTCTAGGGAAGTCATTGTTTTTTTTTTTGTCCCCCACCCTGAAAAGGAAGTTAATTACAAAAACTTCAAGCTTTGTTGAATATCTCCTACTGTGATCAGTTTCAGGAGGAATTGTTGTCATTCCTACTTCGGACAATTTGCACTTCAGGACCTCCTAAGAAGTGTCTGTTCTTACGTTTTGGGAAATCAGAACTGTTAAGACAATGAGAAGAAACCTGACTGGCCCCCAGTGCATAACTGTAGATCAGCTACAGAGAACAGGCAAAATGCATGACTGTAAGTAGATGGTTTTTCATTTTGTCATGTACATATACACATACCCCAGAAATATCTGTGGTGAAACCCAGGCTGTTGTTTTTAACTGACTGGATTTCATTTTAAAAATCATATGAAAGCTGAAAAGTGAAACTATTCCAACTGTAAAGCTTAATTAGTTAATCATGTTTATTCATACATGTATTCATTCTACCAACATGAAGCAATCACTGTGCTTCAAATGTTGGTTTTCTTCATAGCCGCACATTCATAACCATTATGCAGCAGATCAGAGAGTGTTATGGGAATTCCATGGGGACCCCTATTAGCCAGTTAGTTTATTAATAAGATGGAGAACAAGAAGAGTGTAGGAGCTGTATGGACTTCTGGATGACGTGCAATCACACAAATCCAGCACTGGCAGATAAAGTGTAGAATTGTGGGTAGAATGGGAATTCCCTCGGGAGAAGAGGCAAGGATGGCCCAAAGCATCACATTAAAGACCTTAAGCCGAGCCAGGTGCCCTATCTCATGCCTGTAGTCCTGGTACTAGGGAAACTGAGGCAGGGCAATAGCTCAGCGTCTAAGATCACACAGAACACAAAGTGAGTTCCAAACTAGCCTAGGCCTTAGAATAAGACTTAGTCTCAACCCCACTCTCTCAGAAGAACTTACACTATACTTTCAAGTTGTGGGAGCCATAAATATAAGCACATGGGTAATTTTAAGTTTAGATAGGATATAGAGCTTTTAATGACCAACCCTTTTGCTAGGAAGCTGAAAAAAGAAACAGAAACCAAGGAAGGTGAATTCGCATACATTTGAAAACTTGTATTCTACTGAAGAATGGGAGAAATCTGACAACATCAAAGGTTTTGAAGGCATCAGTGATGAGGAGTCAAGGCCACTCCTTGGGGATACTTTCTCACCAGGCTATTTGACTTGGCTGCTGCACTTTTTTTTTAAATCACGTATCTCTACGTGAGATAAGCATGTATCTCTAGCATAGCTTAATGGTTTGACCTTTCATGAGGTTTAAGAAGAGGTCAGAGCAAAGGCAGGGTCCCAGAGAACCCTAGGTAAGGGAGAAAAATGAAAAAGATGAGCCCCTTAAACAAATATTCAAATAGTGAGAAGTAGCACCAATCAGTTTTATTAAAAATTAATTAAGAGTTGGACAGGATCACGACTTTAAGAAAACCCAATACATTTCCTTTATATGAAAGCTAAAAGGGGTCTATTTTGTAGTGCAGATCCCATTATTGCAGTTAATATTACTTATATTGGAAATTATATTTTCCCAGGTTGCCAAACACAAGCTAAACTTCTTTTGTTTTTCATTCTTTCTTTTTTTATTTTTAAGTGATTTTTTAAAATTTACTTATTTATTATGAATACAACACCCTACCTCCATGTACACATCAGAAGAGGGCACTAGATCTCATTACAGATGGTTGTGAGCCACCATGTGGTTGCTGGGAATTGAACTCATGACCTCTGGAAGAGCAGTCAGTGCTCTTAACCTCTGAGCTATCTCTCCAGCCCCTCATTCTTTCTTTAATTTAAATTAGAAATAGTCAATCCCAGCTCCTTCTCTCTCCCCTCCTCCCCCACCCCCCACCAGGCCTCCCACCAGCCCCCACCCAATCCCCACTCTGATCCCCAGGGAGAGTGAAGCCCTCCATGGGGCATGTCCAGAGTCTGCCATTTCATTCAGGGCAGGGCCTAGGCCCTCCCCCAAGAGTCCAGACTGAGAGAACACCCCTCATTGTGGGATGGGCAGTCAAAGTCCATTTGTGTGTCAGGGATAAATACTGATCTACTACCCAAGGTCCCATAGATTGCTGAGGCCTCCTCACTGACATCCACATTCAGGGTGTCTGGATCAGTCAGTCCCATGCTGCAAGCTAAACTTCTATAGCACTGAAATTTGATTTACTGGGAAAGAGCATGAAATTGCAAATGTCAACCACAGGGTTTTCTAGCTTTGTTAGTGTATGTGTGTGCTGTGAGGAGTCAGAAGTCATCAGGTCCCCT